GGATTACGTGCTCAAAAATCGAAGAGGCACCGCCCTTCGAATCTTGAGAGCCAGATTCCCAACAGGATTACTTTCTCAAAAATCGAAGAGGCACTGCTCTCCGAATCTCGAGAGTCAGACTCCTAACAGGATTGCTTTCTCAAAAATTGAAGAGGCACCGTTCTCCAAATCTCGAGAGCCAAACTCCCAATAGGATTACGTGCTCAAAAATCAAATAGGCACCACCCTCCGAATCTCGAGAGCTAGACTCCCAACAGGATTACTTTCTTAAAAATCGAAAAGACACTGCTCTCCGAATCTCAAGAGTCAGACTCCTAACAGGTTTGCTTTCTCAAAAATCGAAGAGGCACCTCTCTCCGAATCTCGAGAGCCAGACTCCCAACAGGATAACATGCTCAAAAATCGAAAAGGCACTGCCCTCCGAATCTCGAGAGCCAAACTCCCAACAGGATTACTTTCTCAAAATCAAAGAGACATTGCTCTCCGAATCTCAATAGTCAGACTCCCAACAGGATTGCTTTCTTAAAAATCGAAGAGGCACCGTTCTCTGAATCTCGAGAGCTAGATCTCCGACAAGATTGCTTGTTAAAAAATCAAAGAGGCACCGCTCTCCGAACTTCGAGAGCCAGATTTCTTTGGATAAAGCTTGTCTGCAATCTTCACACGCAACATTAGCTTTCCAGATACCACAGACCACTTTTTCAAAGTGCTCTGACAAAGTTAAAACACATGAAGCTTGCAGCTCCCACTACATTGTTATGACCAAGAAGGGTAAAAGAATATCACTACTACTTGTTGTTAGGGAGACTCCTATATATGTCGACCTCCATCCTCCACAGCCAGGCAGACCTGCAAATAAAAAAAATGCTCAACTTTTCTTCATATCCGAGATGGCACTCTCAGCAGAGTCTCTCGAAATACTCATCTTCTTTTCCTCCGATAATACCTCTGCAAACAAGCCACATCAAAGCAAGAGTATCTCATATCATCAGGATTAAAAGCAAGAGTATCCCATATCATGCTTTTTCCCTGTCTTTTCCTTTGGCCTTGTTCTTACCTGCAAGACAAGGAAAAAGAGAGCAATCAGTCAACACTTGGAATCAAGCTTCCAGTCAGGAACTGACTGCCGGGAACCCCTTGCCTAATTACTTACCTGGCATTGTTCTCGAGTACTCATCTTCAACATCTTATGCTTCCAGAGAAGATACCACATCTGTCTGAAGAACAGATAGGGCAAGTAAGAATGATATAAGGAAGCATGTGGAGACAAGCATAACAGAACACGTGTCCATACATCCACTACTTTGTCAACAACAAAAGTATCCCATATCATCAGGGTCGAACGTACTATAGATTTGATGAACTTGTTTTGACCCTCAAATTCTTGAGTCAGCCTTATACTCTGGAGCAAACCAGAAAACCCTCCAGCCTAGTTCAAGAATAAGCCTGTGGAAAGTTACTTCTTCAAAAGCAAAAGTATCTCATATCATCTCTTCTCCATTTGCTTCTTCTTATCCTTGTTGCTATTAACGACATAAGGAGAAGGAGAACAATCAACCGGAAGCTGAAGTCGAACCTTCGATCCAGGTTGCTTACTTGGAAGTGTGATTGCTTACCTTGTCTGTTACCTCCTTCGGCAAATCTCCTAGCTCGGTTACTTGGGGGACTCCTACTATAGGGTTTGTATCGCACTTGACCAAGCCTGAAACTACAAGTAAGCTTCAAGTGAAATTGATACATTACCTTGTACATCTTCATCGGTTAAAGATACCACCCCTGGATGGAGGAAAAGTACTTCCAGAGAAGATGCCACATCTACATATGAGACAGATAAGGCAAGTGAAAATGATACCACACTTCGATACTTAGAAGTTTCGTGATTACTCAATGGCTTAAATCTTGCAAGTCCCCAACCGAGGAGCTTCCCTCACTCGGGAACTTAGGGGAGCACTGTTTGTACCATACTTGACCAATCCCGAAACTACTGAGTACCGGTCAACGTTATACCGTCAAGGACCCAGAAGAGTTTCCCTCCAACCAGAAGACCAATCACAGCGCGACACGTGTCGACATCAGAAGCCAATCATAGCGCGACAAATGTCAATATCAGAAGCCAATCACAATACGACACATGTCAATGTCAGAATGAAACTAGAAACTCTCTTCTATAAATAAAAATCATTCTCTCACAATATTTCCTAATGTCATTTGTACTAAATCATTCACTAGTACTTACTAAATGAGAGCTTGAACCTATGTACTTGTGCAAATCCTTCACAATTAATGAGAACTCCTCTACTCCGTGGACGTAGCCAATCTGGGTGAACCACGTACATCTTGTGTTTGCTTCCCTGTCCCTATCCATTTACATACTTATTCACACTAGTGACCGGAGCAATCTAGTGAAGGTCATAAACTTAACATTTTCTGTTGTACCAAAGTCCTCACTGATTTTGTGCATCAACAAGGAACTTTATTAGATTTTTACTAGAAATAGCAATTAGGGGAATTCCTTGTGCTGTGCTCCATATGACTAGATGTTGGTTGATATATGGAATCAATAGCATGTATACGTATAATTAGGTATAATGTGTGATGATGAGACCGCACCATGTAGTAGTGGTACATGGATAATCCTGGTTGGTATATCCGCAATGGGGGACCATACGTATGCTAGGAGTGATCATGCTTGGTATATCTGCAATGGGTGGTCACTACCTATAGTTATATGATACAGTCCTGCTTGGTATATCCGCAATGGGGAACTATTAGGGGTGATCATGCTTGGTATATCCGCGATGGGGAACTATTAGGGGTGATCATGCTTTGTATATCCGCGATAGGTGATCACTGTCTGCATGATGAGATTATGCCTATGGTTCTGCTTGGTATATCCGCGATGGGGGATCATATGTATTCTAGAAGTGATGATGATTAGTTGTACTTGGTACATTTGATAGGCGATCATATTTAGTTTGGTTCGTTTGAGTGGTCCGGAACCCGAGGTTGTTGGATTTCGTAGAGTGGTTTGAAATCCCATTATTTGGAGAAGTAGGCTTGGCCTAATTGTGTTACTCTAGCCTTAGTTTTATATATATTTGTGTCAATGGTTTCGAGAATCTTGTGAATTGAGTTAGAAAAGATGTTGGACGTCTGGGTGACTCCTTGGGGATATTCTACAATTCGATTATGATTTCATAAGGTATGAATTTAGAAGATATGGGAATGATTGTTATTACTTTGATCAAATTAATTAATTAATGTGACTAGAGAATGGTTTTGTGTTTCGTTGGTTCTTAAATATGATGTATGTTGTGAATTGTGATATCATGATGAGACATAATGATTTATATGTAGGATGGAAGAGAAATCATGATTTCATGAGGGTTTATTATGTAGCTTGAGCCCAAGAATTTCATGCTATCAGGTTATATTAAATGATCGAGGAATGTTATGCTTTTCTGCTTGAACTCAGTGGGATAAATGTCTGATTTTGTGAATGGTGAACTACGAATGACTTGATCCCTATTGAGGGTACGTAGGCAGTCTAACGAGGAGGTTAGATGCAGCCATAAAGTTTACGGAAAAAAAAAATTAGTACGCAAATTCGAGGCATGAGTTGAGCTTGGTACATATCTCGGAGACGGGGTATGTTAGATACACGACAATATATTTTATAATCAATGTTTTTTTGGATATTATAAGCTATATAATAAATAGACAATTATTTATACGGTATATAATAAATTTATTCAAATTTGCCTAGGTCCTCGCCTAAGTGTAAAGTCATGTCCATCATCTTTTAAAACTTTGCTTATTATACGGTTAAATAATAGAACGATACAACAAGAAACGGTGCTAAATCATCCTTCAAATAATATTATTGTTCAAACCCTCTTTCGACTATTTTGAGTAGTCCAAATCCTCTTTTGAATATTTCGGTTAGTGCAAATTCTCCTATGAATATTACGGGTAGTTCAAATAATCTTCTTGCAAATCTTGGACTTAGACCTTGAATGAATGTTCACATTTTTTTGGGACCCTAAATTTTTAAATTTCGCCCCTCCCTCCGAGAATTCCCGGCTTCGCCATTGCAAGTTCTTAATTGATCTTGAGTCTCCTTTAATTTGTTTAATTTAATGTTAAGAAAATAGAAAAATATGCAGAATGTACAAAAAATTATATAGAAAGTGAAAAAAAAGTGCAAAAATCATTTTCTTGAAAGATAATTGACATGTGGAGGTGATGTTGGAGTTGGATTCAGCAAGGGGATGTGGTAAGGTTGGGTTGAGGAAGATGGAGGTGGTGGCTTTGTTCTTCCAAAGGGGAGAGAAGCCAGACTTAGGGATGAGAGTATGCATAAGAAATATAAGTGATTAATAAGTGATGTAATTTTTAGAAACTAATATAACGAGAAATGAAAGACATTATTATATATACTACTACCATTGACGTAGTCACAATGGTCGTCACCACCATTTTTGTTACCACCACATTTCTATGGTCATAACCGCCACTTCCACTATTATCATCGTTGCTCAACAACCATCGCCATCGTTGCCACCAAACAACCACCCCACCAATGTAGCGAGAACAAGTAGAATATGTTAATCAAGTTATTTTTTTTATACAACAATATATTTATACTAAAAGTTAGGAGAATATTTAATTTTATTAAACGCTTACAATCTCAAGCTTTAAATTGAACAAATTATTTTTTCAACAAAAAGAAAAAAGAAATGCTAAAGAGATTATATGATGCACTGTGGCAAATGATACGTACATATTAAATATCAATTAATGAGTTTATCTCATTAGATGTTGATTATATGAATAATTAACTGTATCATATAGTACACCAATGTAATATAAAAATGTGGTCCACCCTAATGTTACTCAAAATGACAATTACAAACAAATCCCAATGCTTATTCAATGTTTTCTGGGTCCCACATCATGCCAGACAGGATAAACATTACCCTATTGAACATTTTTTGACCGGGGCATTATAAAAATTGGAGGTTGTCCGCACAGCCCCAAGAGCTGGAGTGTAGTGCTCTGATGGAGTGTATTTCCTCTCTCTCTCTCTCTCTCTCTCTCTCTCTCTCTCTCACTCGTCAGAATCGTGGTCTGAAGGTACTTCTCTTTGTCTCTCTCATCGTCTATCATCGTCGATCATTTGCATGTTTGTTTACATTTGTGTGGGTGTTTGGTTTTAATCTTTTTTTTTTTTGTTTTGCAGATGAACAGCAAGAAGGCAGGGGAAGAGATTGTGTCTGAGACATTCACATGGCTGATCGAAAACTTCTCTAAGCTGCAGACCGGCAAGCATTACTCCGACGTTTTCACCATCGCTGGTTTTAAATGGTATTTTTATTATTTTCTCAAGATTTGTTTATTTTATTTTATCTTTTGTTCTTTTGAGCTCCTCCAAGTCCACAAGAAAATTTTCAACATGTGAAAACAGCTCGATACACTAATTCTCATAATATAAGTGGTTAAATTTTTTTTTCAAAATTTTCAACCACTTGTACTGTGATATAGCGAACAGTGTTTCCATGACACCCAAAAAATCTCTCGAACTCCAAAGATCTTTATTTTTTATGAGTCCTTAGATCAGAGCAGCTTCAGGCTCATATATTATTTTTTAATTAATTTTTATATTTTATTGTTTTGCAAATTTGTTATGGTATTTAGAAACTCCACTGTCATTCCCAATAAAAAAATGAAAGAAAGAAATCGTAATAGGAACAATCTAGAAGCTTCCACTAGTAACCCTATTCACATAGGTAGCCACAAAGAGCCAAACCCTAGTAAAAGACCAATACATGCCCTAAAGTATTAGGATCATGACCTACAACTTTAACATCGTTGTGCCCTTTGGTTTGATAATTTTGATTTGTCAGGAGGCTGCTTATATGGCCGAAGGGCAACAAAGTAAAATCTGAAATGCAGTTCTCCTTGTATTTGTGTGCTCCAAATGCTTCAAATTTGGAACCTGGTTAGGCTAGATCTGCCCATTTCAGCTTGAGTGTGGTCAATCAACTGGACAGCACCAAGACAATCTCAAAGGCTACAAAGGGTATTTCCTTTACTCTTCATGAATCATGTTTCTGTTCTTTCTGTGTGATCTTGTCGTTATGGCAAGCAAAACTTCTTAAATGGAATTTCAATCCTGCTTCTGTTTTTGTTAGTTGTTGATATGTGACACGCATCGTTAACTGTAAAAGTTATGGTGCATATGGGTAGAAAGAGTTAAAACAAGGGATGTGGAGTGAGTTTCTAGTATAATTGTTTAACGGATCCGTTATCATTTATGTGACACATGCGTCGTTGATTGTAATAAATTGAGGTGCATTTGGATTAAAATGTTTAAAACAAGAGATTCGGAGCGAGTTTCTAGCGTAAATTATTGTTTAACGGATCGTTAGCTCTTTATGTGACAGACGTCGTTAGTTGTAATAAGTTATGATGCATTTGGGTAGAATGATTTAAAACAGAGTGAGTTTCTAGCATAAATTGTTTTATGGATCGTTATCTCTTTATGAGACACACGGTGTTGGTCATAAAAGATTTTAAACAGGGGATTTGGAGTGAGTTTCTAGTATAAATTGTTTAACTGAGCATTATCATTTATGCTCCCTATTAGTCGTCAATAACTAATTAGAATTCCTAAGCTTTGTTGGTGATATTATTTGGTGTATTCTGATCAATTTTGCATTAATATATCTATGGTTGTTAACATTATATGAGATTTTCTATCGCGTTGGGACACCGTTTGCAACTTAGTTTTTATATTTTTCTTTAACTCTCTGTTTTTAACTGTCACGTGGGTGTAGTAAATTTGCCAACTTTAGCTTAACCTTGGTTAATCAACTTGATACCGACAACTCAATCACAGATCCGGCAAACTGTATTGTTTTAATCTTTGCTAATTAGGGCTTATTTTGGGGTTTAGTTTTCTGATATTATTCTTCTCACCAAGGAGGGAAATATATATTGTACAAGATTGATTTACAAGACATCAAATAAAATCAATCCTAATTACATTCTGATTACAAGGACCCAAACAGGTAACTAGGCCAATTACAAAGGTCAACTCTCCAACACTCCCCCTTAAGTTGGTGCATAAATGTCGTTCATGCCCAACTTGATGAGAGAGTTGTAGAATGCTTGACTGGCAACAACTTTAGTTAAGATGTCTGCTAATTGATCCTCTGACTTTACAAACGGGAATTGAAGAATATTCTCATCCAACTTCTCCTTAATGAAGTGTCTGTCAACTTCCACATGTTTCTTGTGATTGTGCTGGATTGGGTTGTGTGAGATATCAATCGTTGCTTTATTATCACAAAACAAATTCGAAGCCGACATTGAAGGACACCCAAGTTCTGCAAGTAACCTCCGAAGCCATAATAATTCACATACTCCTTTTGCCATACCCTTATATTCCACCTCTACACTTGATAAAGCAACCACTTTTTGTTTCTTACTCCGCCAAGTCACAAAATTTCCCCCCACAAATGTAAAGTAACCCGATGTGGATCGTCGATCAGTAATATTCCCTGCCCAATCTGCATCGGTATAACCTTTTATCTGGCAATGACCATTCTTGGAAAACATGATGCCTCTACCAGGAAAGGACTTTAGGTATCGTAGAATGCGTTTAACCACACCCATATGCGTATCACTCGGGGAATGCATAAATTGACTAACAACACTTACTGCATATGCAATATCAGGTCTGGTATGAGATAAATGAATTAACCTCCCAACTAACCTTTGATAACGATCTCGGTTAGTGGGAACTTGATCAGGGTGCACATCAAGATGGTGATTTTGGACAATAGGGGTGTCAACCGGTTTACAATCAAGCATTCCGGTTTCGGCTAACAAATCAAAAACATATTTTCTTTGAGATAGAAATATACCCTGTTTAGATCGAGCTACTTCTATACCCAAGAAATATTTCAATCCACCAAGATCTTTCATCTCGAACTCAACTGCTAAGTAATCTTTCAGCCTTGAGATTTCTTCTTTATCATCACCCATAACAATCACATCATCCACATAAATAATAAGTGTCGTCAATTTACCCATCCGACGTTTCAAGAAAAGTGTATGATCGGAATTGCTCTGCCTGAACCCATACTTGCTCATAGCCGTACGGAACCTACCAAACCATGCCCGAGGTAATTGTTTCAATCCATACAATGCCTTATTCAACTTACACACCATTCCGGGTTGTGAAACTGATGCATAAACAGGTGGAATATCCATATACACTTCTTCTTTAAGATTACCATGTAAGAAAGCATTTTTCACATCAAATTGTTGTAATGGCCAATCCAAGTTAGCCGCCAACGAAACTAACACTCTAACAGTATTAATCTTTGCTCCTTACTTATTACATATTTGCCCCTCCATTTATTACATAATTACATTTGAGTCCCCCGAGTATTTATACAAGGTCTAAATACGGAGGCCCTAAGTATGGTATAAACAAAGTGTAACACCTAATTCAATGTATTGTGCTAAATACAGTAAGGTACATACTGCACTAGGATATGGTACTTTTAGACCAAATATCAATTCATCATTTCCCTCATGAGGATGAATGATTTTTCTTAATGTCTAAATATTAATTAACAACTTGAGTGTTCAACTCATGATCTTCAATCCATATGGTTCTTTAATACCATAAACATCATGGGTAAGATTCGTGTTGGCGTATTGTTCGATCTACAACTCTAGATAGTATTCATTTCAACACTTTATAATCTTTCTAGACTCTTCAGGAGTCTCACTCTGATATCATCAACTCTTGCAAGAGATTTAATATATTGCAACAACATCATAATGATAGTACTCATTAAGGCAATTTATACCATCTATTGGTATTGAGTACATAATTTATGCTTTACCTTTCCAGGGCTTTCTTCAAGCAATCTAAATCCTTCAAGGATTTTCTACACTTCATGACACATTCTCTTTTGGAATTTAGACATAGCAACTTGCTTCCATGTATGCTTGAGGGATTTACTTGTGGAGATATACCTCAGGCATTTCATAAGGCTTTGTGTAATATATAATTCTCCATTTAAATGAACAAGTTTCACAATGAGAAATCATGTTTCCAGGAGTGTATTAGAGTTTCAACTAAGAACCTTGTGTCATATCATTTGAGTGTAGTACACTGTATTACAAATGCTCATATTTAACCTTCTGGGTTCAACATTATCTGGCGATTTGTACAATAGGTCCATTTTTCCATGTTCTTGATAAATTGTAATGGAATTGCTTTTCTTCATTTTTGGCCAATAATTTTGTTTTTTGTCGACGAATAAAAGAACATGGCTCAATATCAACATAGCTCATTGATGAATTTAGTAGCTACTAAAAACAACATTGGTAATCATCAATTCATGGTCCCATAATTCTCATGTGCATGCGCATGCATATGTATAATCATTTCATTACTTTGGATATCCTTGCCTCTTCAGGGGCTGTACATTGTTTCTTGTAGGACAATCATCTCTTATTACATGAATTGTTTGAAAATATGGATCATAACCTCATCTAGAGCGCTATAGAGTTTGTATAGTTAACTCCACTTCTAGGGAGTTAAATCATTGGAACTTACACATCGATCCATCATGCTTCAAGCATGAGATATATTAAAATTGCCATGTTCATGGATTATCCCTTTTGAAACTTGAATCTATGCGGCGACTGTCATGCTTCAGGCATGCAACAGCTCAGTAGTGCTAAGTCTATGGATAGTATGACTGAGACTTTAATCCGTGCGACATCTCTGTAACTTGTAATCAATTAGTAATTTTCATTACCTTTTTCTACATCATGTGAATGATATAAACTGGTAAAGTTTGCTGGGGATATGAGTAGAATTTCCATAATTGAACTTTGGTCTTCCATTCACTCAGTCAGCCACCAATTTTCTCCCTTTGGACTTCTATAAGCTCATCGTTGATCATTCTGCTTCAATCTCTTGCCTAATAGAAGTGATGTGCAACCTTTTGTCCTTAGATGGTCCATCATTTCTCGGTGACTCGTCCATGTTTAGCAGCTTTAGTGTAAAGAGCCAACAGTGTACCAATTATTCTGCGATGTTGGTGACTTGAGACCCAGCTCCAACAACAGTTGAAGATGACTACTTAAGAGCAATGCAAGGTAAGCAATCAAGAAATGTTCTAGGCAGTTGGTTCTTGACCGGATGTTTGATTTCAGGTTCCGATTGATAGCTTTCTTTCTCTTTGCCTTGCAGGTAAGAGTAAAGGCAAAGGAAAAGATAGGGAAAGAACATGATATGAGATACCCTTGCTCTCAACCCTAATGATATGAAATACTTTTTCTCTTGAAGGAAAACAGTAGAAGGATTTAATGCTAATATAAAGCTTCTCGATCAAAAATATTTCTTGCTGAGAAAATGAGTTTGGCATTTCGAGGGACTTGGTTGAAGAGGTATTCTTAGAGAGACGGAAGACTGAATATGTTGAGAGGTTTGGTTGCACATGCATTCTTGGCAAGGAAGATGAGCTAGGCATTTTGGAGGTGTGCCTTACCATGGAGGACAAAGGTCGACATATATAGGGATTTCCCAATAGCAGGTAGTGATGCAGATGTGGCTTTGTCACCCACGCTTGTCGGCAACAGTGGTGTAGTTGGAATAGTGAACTTTACGTGTTTTAAGTTTGCTAGAGATATTTTGATCGAGTTGTCTTTAATATCCGGAAAGCTGAGATTGCGTCTAAGAAATGTTAACGAACTTTATTCAAGAAAATCCAGCTTTTGAAATTCGGAGAGCAGTGCCTTGATTTTAAAAGTGGCTATGTTGCCTCTCTTTTTATAGAGGTATCAATTGTATCCAAAATGCATGCTTTAAAGGTCGCCTACCTGTGAAAATTGTTTCTACTGTATTTATGAGATTTCACTATATCCAATCCTTTTATTTCATCATTTTTTAAAATGGCTTGCCCATCTAACATTTGTTTATAGTTGAGTCTCGGAAGTGATACACACGAGCTGCGTCAAGATAATATATGGCGCCCGTCCTTTTTATCTTCTAATGGCCATTTTACAGTTGGAGACTCTATGATGAGGGATGATATAACGGCTACAATAGTAGCTAGGAACTATCTCACTCCCAAAGATAATAGAATAGTTTCAAAAAGGTCTAATGAATTGGCTGTTCAAGACTCTTTGGTTTTGAGTGTTCAGTGTGTGAGTTATGTATCCAACATAAGCCAACGTCTACTTGCTCGAACTCGCCAAGTTGAAACATTAATGGCTAAGGTGGCAAGTCTTAGACAAGAAATTAAAGGGCTTAAGCACGAGAATAAAGAGTTGCATAAACTTGCAAATATTTACTCAACGAGCATGAAAATAAAGCTCGACCAGCTGCTAGAATCCGAAAGTCGGATTCAAAGTGATCACCAGAGATTCGTGGCTAGATTCTAAAGGTAACTGGTGCCTTCCCCTTATGGTGTTTTGCCAATTATTGGGGCGTTACATGATCAATCTTCAGTGCCTCCCTCTTCTGGGGTACTGCCAAGTACTAAGGCTTCACATAAGCAACCTTTGTGAAGGTCCCCCGTTTGTTGGTTTTTTGTAGTTGTAACTCATGTGTATATATAAAAAAAAAATTCTCCCATTTGATTTTATACATGTCAGAAAGCTTCTACTTTAGCTTGTTATATATGGGAACCCATGGAAAATTCTGATTCCATGAATATGATTCAATGAGCCTTTAAGTATAGATATTTTCTAATATCATATGCTTCCACATGAGTTCTCGAGCATTATGAATTCATGAAAGTATCTCGTGTAAGATGACGCTGGTCACAAAATCGGGTTTTGCTAAGTTCACCATTTTCTTATTCCCAAAAGGAAGAAATTCAGGTATGACAGAAATTACAATAATTAACTCATGCCACATATAATATATGCCCACACAAAATGTTAGAATTTCAAGTTCTTAACATTATTCATATTTTGAACTTCAGACCAAAACATTATTCATTTGTACTTGAAATTTATTTTCAATGTTGACATCATTAGAACCTTTAGGTTCGTATTTTTGGAATTCATACCCATACTTAATTTGTACATGGATTAAGAAACTTATGGTCCTCATTTACATGAAGCAAGGAACTTCTGGCCCTTATTTAATAGTTTGTGGAGTGAGGCACTTATGGTCGTCACTTTATTTTAATTGAGGAACTACTGCTATCTCTATTGGTTAAAAAACTTCAGGTTTTGATTTTTGATCAAGGAACTTCGGGTCTGATGTTTTCATATGATGAGAATCAAGAAACTTCAGGTTTTGATTTGATTAAGGAACTTCGGGTCCTTTAAATACTCATCATAACAAAATGTAATACACTAAATAAATTAAAGCAATAGGCGGTAATTACAGCCATGATAAATAAATTGCTTTTTTTAAGTAAATAAAGTTTGTGACAAGAGCTTTGAACCAACATCATTCACATAAATATCAAAGCTCTAAAGCAAAGGTTATAGATATTGGGCAAATGAACAACTTTCAAGAAGGAAGTATCTCAATCAGAGGTCAGCAAGTTGGAGTTCAAAATTTGTTTTCATGGCTGTCAGATTTTCTGCCAATAATAATAATAATTATATAACCAAAATGTAAATTTACCTTAAGAAAATTAGTCATACAGAGATATGAAAATGAAATGAAAATATTTTCTTATTTGTGAGATTACAGCTGACAAATGTGAAAGGTAGGTAGTGCTTTGCCGGATTTATGGAGTATGCTCTCCACTAACATGAAAGCTTCTCGTGCTGATAATGTGTTGTAAAATCGACAGTATGTGTGCAGTGGAGCATAAAATAAATGAGACACAATATTTAGAAGATTCGGCAAGTGTGCCTAAGTCCTCAGGACAGTAGTAGTACTTTCTTTCATTACGTGAAATAATAGGAGTACAAAGATAACTCTCACTATTTTCTCTCTTCTCTCTAGCTCAGCTCACTGGTATTTTCTTCTATATCTCTCTTCTTCCTCTTCTTCCTCTCATCTCTTCTTTTCTTTATCTCTTTCTTTCTTCCTCCGTATGCTCTCATTTTATAGGCAAAAGATTATTGTTACAAGACTATTGCTTTACAAGCTTTCTTCATATAAATGATAACCCATCTTATTTTTCTTTGGATGAATAGTAACAAACTATTCGTATATGTCATCCACATATTACATTACAACATTTTCAAAATTTTAGTAATTAATTAAATAAGGATTTAAAAGTTTTCTTACAAAAGGATAAATATGTTATTAAATAAGTGAAAAAATATGACATTGGGATGGCAATTTCCGTCCATTTTGTTAGACATAAAGCACGAACGTGGGTGGAGGATGGAGCGGCAATCGTTTTGGTGGTTAGTGAGGGATGGAGCAGTTTTTTTCTTCCTCAACTCTGGGACTCGAGATGATGTGATGGCAGGTCTTTGTGACGGAGATGGTTTCGACTCATTGGGGAGTTTCGGCGGCAAAATGACTTGCTACAGTAGCCGATGTGGTTTAGGGTTTCTTGTGTTGTGTGGTGTGTTTGTGCTGGATTCCAAAGCTTTCTTTGGGCTTTGTAATGTGTATTTTAAGGGTTTGTTTTTTCTTTTGTTCACAACGTATATTTGGACCTTTCATGTGTAATGTTTCTTTGTTGGTAATATATTTGCCTTTTCTGAAGAAAAAATAAATGAACTTTAATGAAAAACTCCTGGTATTGTTCACTTTAACAAAAAATCATATTTTTACACTAAAAAGTTAATCCATGTATTATTCATTTTACCTTTTATTTTATTTTTATCATTAAAATTCAAAACTACCAAATCATATCCATTAGTTTTCTTTAAAAAAAAATAAAAAAAGGACCAGCATGGGACCCCTTTGGACATTGTTTGACTGAGCCATCATATAATTGGAGGTTTTGTCCGCTGAGCCTACTGGGCTGCAGTGTCAGTGTGTGCTCTGCTGGGGAGTGGAGAGTATTTTCCTCTCTCTCTCTCTCTCTCTTTCTCTCCCCCCTCCTCTCTCTCACCGTCGATCATGGTTAGGATTGCTGTGATGGTTGGTGTGATTATTGGGTGACCATTTTTATGGGTTTTATTTATTTGAATTTTTCTGTTTTGTAGATGAAGAGCAAGAACAAGGAAGAAGAAGAGGTGTCTGGGACATTCACATGGGTGATCGAAAACTTCTCTAAGCTCAAGAACGAAAATCATTACTCTGACGTTTTCACCATCGCTGGTTTCAAATGGTAAAATTATTCTCTCATATTTTGTTTTGTTTAGGTTTTTTTTTTTAAATTTTTGTTTTTTTGATTGTGAACACTTCAAGATCGCCGTTTTGGTTTGATAATTTTGATTTGGTCAGGAGGATCCTAGCACGGCCGAAGGGCAACGAAGTAAATTCCGAAATGCACTTCTCCATGTACTTGTGTGTCCCAAGTGCTTCAACTCTGGAACCTGGTTGGACTAAATTTGCCCACTTCAGCTTGAGTGTGCTCAATCAACTGGACAGCAACAAGACAATCACAATGGCTACAAAGGGTATAACTTTTACTGTTTCATGTTTATGTTCTTTCTATGTGATCTTGTGGCTTTGGCAATCGAAACTCAGTAAATGGATTTCCTTGTGCTTTCCATCATGATTCTGTTGTTGTTTGTTGTTTGTATGTGACACGCATCGTTCGTTACTTGTAACAAGTTATGGTGGATTTGGATGGAGAGATTTAAAACAAGGGATTTGGATTGCGTTTCTAGTATAAGATTGTAAATTGTTTTGCTGAGCTTTTGTCATCTATACGACATGAGGTGCATTTGGATAGAAAGAGTTAAAACAAAGGTTTTGGAGTGAGTTTGTAGTATAACTTGTTTTAACTGATTGATCTGGCGTGAGTTTCTAGCATAATTGTTTAACTGATAGTGATCACTTATGTGACATGCGTTGTTGGTTGTAATAAGTTATGGTGCATTTGGATTGAATGATTGAAAACAAAGAATTTGTAGTGATTTCTAGGACAAATTGTTTAAATGATCGTTATCTCATTCATGCGACATGCGTTGTTGGTTGTTGGAACAAGTTATGTTGCATTTGGATATAAAGATTTCAAACAAGGTTTTTGGAGTGAGTTTCTAGTATAAATTGAGTAGCTGATCTTTATCAATGAAACCATAATTTTGATTTTCGGATCAGTTAGTTTGGATTTGTCGTCAAGAACTATTTAGAATTTCTCTTCCCTTAAGCTTTGGTGGTGATAATATTACTGGTAGCAGCTTAGTTTTTATTTTTTCTTAAACTTTCTGGTTTTAAAGCTAACGGATTTATGCCTGGGTTATGTACGTTTACACATGGAAGGAAGTCCATCTGCAAATATGTTATTATAATTAGCATGAGTTCTTGATCATTGATTGAGGTCATCTTTGTTGACAATTTGCTTCTGTAGTAAATTCCAAATTGGACTTCCTTTGTTGTTGTTTCCGTATTACCTTTGATGTGCTTTGTGTACCTGATTAAAGTTTTGTATTCCTTTATATTTTTGCTCACAGGCTCTTATAAAGAGTTCAAAGAACACAGTAGTGAATGGGGCTTCAAATCATTCATGCTGCTCAGTGAACTTTATGACAAGACTGCAGGTTATCTCGTGAATGATAAATGCATTGTTGAAGTGAAGGTCCGTATTCCAATAGACCAAAGAGCAAATGGTTTTGCAGAATCTGCACTTATGGAGCCCATAAAGAAAGAGCGTGGTGGGCAGGAACCTTCACATGTGCATTCGGTGCATACTCCAGAATCTTCTCCTACACCTAAGACACCAAGTTCAGAACTGCCGACTCCTTTCCAAGAAACATCAGGTCCTGAACAAGTTTGCACCAAGGCTATTGTTGAAAGCCTTCCTGACCCTTCTCTAGTTAAGGAGCTTGAGGAAATTCCCACCAAACCAACAGGGGAGCTTTTGGAATTTCGTGGGTTGGGACTAATAGAGAAAGCTTTCGTTCCACTGCTGGAGGAAGCTTGTTCATTGCATCCTTCATTGATTGAGTGCGTACGTAAGAAGAATCGTAAAGTTGTAGAATGTGCTTTGACAGCGCTCGGAGGGCTCTTGCATTTTCTTAAAACAACAAAGGTCAAGGATATGAATGGGGATGCCTTTACTCATCTTCGAAGTTTATGGGAGGATGTCGAGATGTTCAGATTTGACTTGGCTTGGCTGGAGCCACATGTTCAATCGGCTTTGGGTATGAAGAAATTTCTGGAAAGGGCAAGGAGAGTGAAGAGGTTGAGAGAAGACGTTGAAGCTTTGGATAATGAGAAGAAGAGGCGGAGTGCTGCCCTTGCTGTCACAGAGGCAGAGCTTGAGGAAGCAAAGAGAGAGTTGGCTAAGGAGGAAGAGGGCTTCAACGAGAAAGATATGGATTCTGAGCTAGGTTGTGGTGAGTTAGTCCTATCATAGAAGTTTCTCTTTGATATGAGTTGTAGGACGGACATATGAGAGAGATAGACATGTATAGTAAGCTAGTTTTGGGAACCGTTTATATATTTCACGGTTTACGACTAGTTTTGTGCACCTTCATCAACTTCCTGGTCTGATCGATTAGGCAGGATGTCCGTGTTGATAGCCTTTGTTCAAGTGAGTTATTTGAATTTACTTTCGTCAAAAATGCATCTTTTACTTTGATATTGATGTAAGAACAAGTTTATAACACCTTATCCAAGAATCAAGGATTCATCCAATTGAATCACAACTAGTTTAAGCTTTGCATTTAAACAGACTTAAGAATCAAACCCTTAGAACATACCTGCATTGTTCGATCCTGATGAAGAAGCCATTGCAGCCTCTGTGTCCGAAACCTTCTCCTCTTTTACGATGACAATAGCTTCTCTAATCAATAGGTCTTAGAACAACACAAGCTGGTATCACAAGAGCAGTGGTTTGAACCATATATATAGTACTCCTCTGTCCATTCCCTATCAAAATTGGACTAGGAGTCAAAGTTATACAAACCATAAAGATTTATGAGACCTTATAAAGTTCCAACACTAAGTTCTTTTCCAAAACCAATTGGAACTTCTCTCAAGACTGCATTCCTTATAAGATTTAGACTTCTTTATAATATCAATTATCCCAAGACTTGTAAGGATCATACTCGTACTCTTACAATTGAAACTTAACATTGTTTCTTAAGATTTCGTACAGTGTTTGAAGTTGCGCCTTTCATATTTCATCGTTTTGTTTTGGATTGAACAGTTAAAATTTGGAATGTTGTGCTCCGTGCTAGAAAGACTTGCTAGACTTTTGTTTCTTCTTTCTTCTGGGTACTGGATTCTTGCTGATTTACTCGTATATGCTGTCTGTGCAAGGATTTATGCCAATAGTTCATTATTTCTATCTTATATCTAAGTCGATTTAGCAATATTTCTCGATTCATTTTTTGGGGACGTGATTCCAGCAAAGTGGAATAGCTAGTTGGTTTATGTAAAGTTTGTTTTTGCAGAGTGGAATTAGCTCTTGGTCTTATTGGTGATTCTCTTTCGCATGTTAGAAGAAGAGGTCTCAAGTTCGAATCTAATATAATCTAGTAGAACAAATATTTTGCATGACCGGACATTTTCTTTTTTATGTCAATATATAGACCAAACAATTGGAAGCTGAAGCTACTTCTGCCAAGGAGAAGTGGACCATCTCAAACTCGACTAGAGATTAATTAGCCCAATAAATTTATGGTTCTTGATTGATGGGTTGAAATTTTTACCCCAATTGCCTGTATAAAAGTAGTAGGGGTTGAGATCCTCTCCGGATCTCTTCCTCCCCAGCCAGGGAATCAAACAATCTTGGCCATTGTAGGGGCGTGTTTTCTGCATTTCCTTTTTCACCTTTTGCTCTGCCCTTCTTAGTTCTATCTGTAAATTCTCTTTATTCAATCTAATAATATCTCATTTAGTTCTTCTCCCCTTTTTTCATTCAATATGTCACTTTACTACTCATCTTCAATGCTTTAAACAATTTGGACTGAAATCTTACATTTGAGCTTAAATATGAGTCCAAATCTCCCCAATACATTGGGGACTTGTGACACGCCCCGATCCCGGTGTCCAAAGGACAACAAGATGGCCACGTGTTGGCCAACACCCGAGGGTGATGCAAGCCATTTATGAATGCATATGCTGAGAACATGAGAAACATGCATATAAATTTTGCAGAAACATGCATGACATAAGCTTACAAAATACAAACCTTACAAAATAATAGTGATAATGCATGACATGTTGAGAGCATATTACTAATTCAGAATACAAGCGGAAGGTATAATAGAAGGTGCTATTACAAGAGATGTCCAACGCAGAAAGGAGGACACAAGCTTACTAATATGGGAATGCCTCGTAGCTCAGATCGTATGCCTCATTCCTAGGTCCTGAGGGGGTGCAAAACAAAACATGAGTAGACCAAGTTTATATATAAGTAATACTAAAATAGTTATTCATTAACGTACTAACCCCCAGTTTAGAAAACTCAATAGCATAATATGTAATAGGTTTTCCGAAAACCCTAGCATGCCATAAAACTTCATAAAACATATATCATATATAGTGTGCTTAGTAGTGGTATCAAAATCGCCTGAAGGCCTTCATTTGCCCGTAGGCCCTGCATCACCCGACCGAAGCCATATATAAATCTTCAATCGCCCGTAGACCCTACATCACCTGACTAAAACCATATATAAATCTTCATTTGCCTGTAAGCCCTACATCACTCGACCGAAGCCATAAATAGATATCATTCGCCCGTATGCCACTATATCACCCGACCGAAGCCATATATAGATATTGTGGAGCCAAAAATAATCACAAGGCGACACGTGAATTTTTGGACAAAAGAGGACAAAAATACCTTTGAGGTACAATGAGATTCCTACGCGCGAGCAACGAGCAATCATCATTCAACCAAATCAAAAGTTCCCAAAATAGGTAACAAATTCAAAGCTATTTCATCCATCCTCATCCTATATTTTCCACAAGGTAATTATTTCATAACCTTCAAAACATCCCATATAAATTACATAAGCCCCAAAATATTTATTCCAAAAATGTGTTGATTAACCAATTAATGGATTAATTGCCTAATTAATCCATTAAATCACACATTAAACCATAAGTTACACCCTATCCCTATAAATAGGCTCTCATTTTCCCCAAAAGATCATTCCAACACTCTTGCTAAAATTCTCTAGAATTCTCAAACACTTTTTCTCTCTAAATTCTAACTTTGGCATTTGAGGTTCTTCGGCCAAAACCCCCCCATTCATCGTGGGCGCATGAGGCTCTTGGCCTTGACCTAAGGTGTTAATTGTTTTGTAGGTGCAATTTTGTCCAAGATCAATGAGGAAGAAATTTGCATCCACAAATTGGTGCTTTCATTGAGAGTTGAGATCCAGACTCGTAGAAGACTCTCGCATAAAAAGGTTTTTCTCTATTTTCTAGTCCATTTGAATATTTTTCATACATTCTTATTATTAGAATTTTTTTATTTGCAAAGGTTCTTTGATAAAATGTATAAGAAAAATATAATGGCTAGAAATTTAGAAAATTCCACAAGTGAAAATTCTAATACTCAAGAAATGGGACTGCGGCGATCCACGAGGCTAAATGTGGTCATAGATGGAGTGGTACCACCACTACGAGGTTCCACCATAGCCCAAGCCGTGCCATCCAAGCTTGCACGGGCCTGAGCCCAAGCCTCGCATTTGTATACATCACGCACTGAGCAGCCTACTCCCGCCGAGTAGCCCACTCCCGTGGTCCAGCCTGCTTCCGACAAGCAGCCCACTCCCGTGACCCAGCCTGCTCCTGCCGAGCAGCCTACTCTCGCGACCCAGCCTGCTCTCGTGGCCCAGCCTACTCCTGCAACCTAGTCTGCTCCCGTGGCTTTCCAAACAGCCTAAGTCGGCCCAAGACTGTCTCAACCATCCGGACCTATCATCGAGCCGGAGGCATTCTCACCATATTTTTTCGCAGATTTGACATTTCCCAACTCAAATCTCGCGCCCGGAGTCTACTACCCTTCCACTGCTCAATGAGGCATATTCCTTCCAAGCTCTTCCAATCTAAGTGGCGAACAACACTTGTCTTGATAAGTCATAAAGTTGACGAGTTCCCTTGCACAACAGACGAGCTTGGTGAACCAGCTTTTACAGTGCACCGAGATGCAACGTGCCCTAGATAAGGTGTCTCGAAGTAGGACAAAGGCAGACAAAGAACCTTTCCAGCAACATCCTGGCAAGCAGCCACTCGACCAGTCATGAACCGAGCGTTCAGGTAGTGTACACTCCCGATTGGACACCCGAGATAGCGTATACTCCCGTCTTAGAGCGAGGAGGAGCGTGCACTCTCGACTAGGCCCACAGATGAGCATATATTCACGATCGGGGTCACACTGAATAGTCAACATGAGCAACCTTTCAAGTGAAGTGTTCATTCACGGCTAAGCTCGCAAGGAGCATCATCCACCTCACATCGGAGTAGGCAGCACGATGGACGGAGATAAGCAGTCACTCAATACGACTCAAGTTTAACCTGCAGCCTACGAAGAATTCGCTTGCCTGCTAAGAACGCACTACACGCACCGCATCCGCGAGCTCCACTACCTCAACAAAGCAAAATTCAGGAAGAAGTAGAGAGACTCTTGACCAAGCAATTGCGTAATTTCCAACGCAACGAGGTCACCGACGAGGCACTACGACGGAACATGACCAACATAAGCAGGTTACCCTTTACGGATGAGATCGAGCAGGCAGAGCCTCCACGCGAGTTCAGCATGCCGCATTTCACATCTTTCAAAAGGGATGAAGACCCGAAGAGACATTAAAACACTACCGAAGCGCAATGATCCTCTATCGAAACAACGATGATTTCATGTGCAAGATATTCGCCACCACTCTACAACGGTGAGGTGCAAGATTGGTTCTACACCATGCCGCCACAATCCATCCGGAATTTCTACGAACTCTCTTTGGTTTTCACCAAAGAATATTCATCCTATCGCTCGATCAAAAAGAAGTCCGACCATTTGTTCGACGTCAAGAAGAACCCAAATGAGTCGTTTCGTGGTTATGTGAGGAGGTTCAAAACAGAGAAGGCAAAGATAGTCGGATGCAACAACTCGATAGCTAAAGTAGCCTTCCATAAAAGACTTCTAGCAGACCACTTGCTCTTCGGAAAATTGATCATGAAAGAAGATCTAACTCTAGCAGACTCCTTCGCTCTGGCAAAGAAGCATGCACTTTAAGACGAGGCTCACCAATGCACATTTAAGAACTTGAAGAAGTACCCGACATCACTTCCCTACTATCCAAACCCAAAGCAACGGATGACTCATTCGCATGTTTGACGATATCTTAAGCAGCAATAAGCTCTATTATCATATGAGAAAAGCTGGGGGCTCGACTACCTGTATTCTACAGTTCGAAAGCTCTTCTCGATGCTATTAGAAATTCAAAAGCTAACTTTGGCAATAGTTGTTGTAACCAGGAAGCTCAAGTTTTACCTTCAAACGCACACAATCATCATCATGACGCATTATTCCGCCGAATCTAGATGCGCGACGATAAAGGCGTAGACCCTGGCGGATGTAAAGTTTTTTTACGAACGCAACAACTCGGCCTAAAAGACATGCCAAGGGCAGATGAACACTGGAAGGAACACTCAGAAGCAAGTTTTATCCTCGTCGCCCCAGAAGATTCTACATAAG